AAGATAATGCAGCAGGGTTGCCTCTCTGGAGCCCTGGGGAGTCACAGTTAGTGACACCCACTACACAGCAGCCCTGGACCGTCTGCCAACTCCTACAGCACGGGTGCCCTTACTCCCTCTCCCTACCCTTTGACGTGGAATGTTTGTTGAGTCTTTATTCCACTCCCAACATACGAGGGCTCATGAATGGTTGCTCATTTAAAACCTACAGCTGCCCTACTCCAGGAGTCTTTGTCCTGGTTTTCTTGTTAAATCTTAGCCCACCTCTTCTTCCCATGGTATAGATGAGCATCCGGTTTGTGGCACAGTACTGTATCTAACACAGCCCTGGGGCTGTTCCACTTGTACAGTAACTAGATTCCTTGCTGCTAATGAAAAGACTTTTGATTCTGGACCCTGAAGAATTATGTTTTGATACATCTTTTGGCAAATTACTAAATCTCCCCAAATGTTTGCACAGTCATCTATTAAAAGAGGATATAATCATTATCTTTTAGAATTGAATCAAATGAGACAACACACATTTTTTAAAAAGCCCTTCCTGAACCTCTAGACTGTTAGAAGGATGTTATTTATCTTTTTTAGGCACTGCTGAAATCCTGCCTCCCTGAGTAGCCTTCCCTGTGCTTGTGTGAGGTGCCAGACTGTTTATCAACCCCCCTATTGTGTTTACTGATTGTCCTATTTTTCCCTCTGTGGTTAGTGGAGATATTTAAATTTGTCAGCTCCCAACCTAGACTGTGTCACCTGGGAGAATAAGAATTGTGGCCCTCATTCGTAGTCCAGTGACCACAGGGTCCAGTGTGAGCTTGGTAAACACTTCTGGGTTTACACTGCACGAGGACACAGTAAACAGGAGCACATTTACAGTGTGGGCTTCAAGTGCCAAGTAGCCTACAGCAGCACCCTGGGGAGCAGGCCAGCCACCGGAAAGGTGGGGGGGTTGGGGGGGGGACTATTTGGAGGAAGAATTCTCAGTCTTTTCTGATTATGAATTTTAGGATAAAATACTTTTCAAAGAAGGTTTTGTTGTTCTCTTAAAAACTTATAAATTTTAGGGTTGCCATTAAAAAAAGAAAATCTTACTGATTTCAGTTGATAGAACTCATCAATAAAGAGGGGAAAAATAAAAGCACGTATTTTAGGAAATGAAATACTGCATGATCCAGCAAGATTCAGCAGTGTGATAGAAAGAACTGGCCAGGACCAGCTGGCCTGATATCCCCCCTTCAGCTCCTGCTGCCCTGAGACAGTTTATCTGGGGATGAAGAGCAGGAATTACAATGAAGGTCTGAGTGTGACTAACACTTAGATTAGCTAGATGACCAGTCATTATTATCTGCCATGATGGTTTTCATTGTTAGAGAGCTTTCAGGTGCTTTCACACTCATCCCATTTGTTTCTGACAAGAAAAACAGAATTTGTCCCATTTCCCTGATGTCCCTGATGTAGATATCACAGCCTAGAGAATGTATTCTGTTGTCTGAAATCAGATAGTCAGATAGTATTGTGGCCGATTTCTGCAAACACCACCCTGCCTAACCCAGTCTTCACCTGTGACAAACAGTGGGAGGAAGCAGAGTATGTACAGGGTGCCTGCATGGGTTGGATTTGGGGAGGGCTTACCTTCATCTTCGTATTAATTATTCTTGTTCTTCAGTGTTACTAATTAAATGATGGCAGTGTTATACGTTTTTGTCTGTTCTTTCAAGAGTCAGCATTCAACAGACCTCTCTGGGCTGTGTCAAGGTTAACTAGATAACCTATTTAAAGGCTGCCTGTCCTAGAGTGCACACATGAAAAACAGGGCAGCTAAACCAAGAGGCTGCCAACGGTTGTCAATCTTTCTTTTCCTAAATGTTAAGCTATTGCTGTTTCTTTAGTTCTTGCTAAGGTAAACAGAGGAGAGTATTAGCAGGGTTCTATTCCTATCACAATTAGCTAATTGTCCTAGGCAAATGACAACCGGGTCAGGTCTGTTTCCAAGTGTCTGAAAGGACGGCAGTGCCTACCTTTGTCTTTCTTGAATAGCTGCAAGGATGAAGTTGGGCAGGGAATCCTGCATCTCCAGACAGCCATGCATCTGTTTGATGACTCCAGGGGCTTATGGAGGCAGGAGTCTTGGGAGCTTGGCAAAAGATGTGGTGTGCCTGAGCCTGTTTCCGTATCTGTAAACTGTGCAAAGGATGCCTACCATGTGTTTGGGTAAGATGATTATGAGACAATAAACATAAGGTTCTTGGTGCAGGGGCAGACACACAGTTACGTGTCAGTAAACATCTGTATGTCTGAAGGAACATGACAAACAGCACTGGCTTTGGGTTACCTTTCCCTTTTCTGGCTCCTCCAGTGTCACATGAGCTCATCTTCCCCAGGAAAGTAATCTGCAGGCAAAGGGAATTTGTATGTGCAAATGTTGCTGTTCGTGTCACAGCCTCTGATGGGTTCTTTTCACCTCATGGTGTCTCCATATGTCCCTCACGGTTGGACTCTGTGTTCACAATGCTTTTCTCAGAGAGTGCAAGGGTTGGTGCTGAAGAATAGAATGTGACATCCTTTACCTGCCACTCATGACCCAGTATCTTGAGATGTGTCCAGGATTGTGCTGTCACCTTCTCAACTTCTGTTCTTGTACCAAAAGCCTACAAACCTCCACCCCTCTCAGAAGTCAGAATTAAAATAAAAGTAGGAGGGACTAATACGGAGACTGTCTTTAAAGTCTTGTTAGAAAAGCAAAATCACCCTGAGGGTAGGGTGAATGGGGTGCAGGGGTGGGAGTCCCAAGACTGGGAAGTCAGGGCGGTGGTTGGGGGAGGAGGAGGAATTTCACAATTTTTGGAAGGTTCTTTCTGACTGTCTGCAGCTGTTGAACGAATTCTTCTTACAGTCGAAGTGTATGATGTTTAATTCATCCAGAGAGCTGGACGTTCTGTTTCTGTAAATGAAGTATGTTGTAAAATCAAAACAGTGCTGCTTCCCCAAATCTCTTGAGGGGTTTGAGAGGCATGTCAACATTCCACGAATCCCAAGATACTGATTTTTCTAGCCAGATATCAAGCCACAAAACTAAAAAACAAAAAAAATTAGAGCCCCCGGTTTTGGACATCATCTCCCAGGGCAGAATAGAGCAAGCTTCATGGAAATGGTTTCTTGGGCCTTGAGAACCACAAATTGTGTTCGACATTTAAAAACAAAAGAAAACAATAAACTTTTTTGTGATTAAACAATCTATGTAGGTTATTTGTAGAAATATAAGGAAATACAGATAATCACAGGGCATGGGGTCACCTTTCTTATTACTTGGCAACTGCTAACAGCTTTGAGTACAGACAAGATAGACACCAATGGCCAAGTGACAGGGTTCTGGCCCACCCGTCCAGGGCAGAGCCCCATTCATGTCCCCATTTGGCTGCTGTATTCATAGATGTATGCCTCTCTTCCCCCCCCCCCTTTCTGGGCCCATTTCCTTTTCTATAAATTAAGGATAATAGTAACACCCGTTTGCAAGGATAGTTGTGCAAATTAAAGACACTAACATAGCACTGCTTAAAATAGTACCTGGAATAAAGTAAACCCTATGTTTGGGATGGTTATAATCATAGTTTATTATATTTCTTGGCTTTTGCCTATATAATATACAGTAAGTCTTTAAGTTGTGAAAGTTCATAGGCAAACTGGATAAGATTAGCAGTGTACTGCATAAGACTTTGTCAGTTACTGATGAATGCTACTTAGGAACATTCTCCTAAAACAGAGCTGACTTGTAAACCAGGGACTTAGTGTAAAAGAAAAAAAATATAATACATGAGCTTTTATAAACTGTCCTATACTGATTTTTTAAATTTATGGTCATCTTTTCATGGACAAACCATTTATTAATATTAGCTAACACTGATTGCTTATGGTTAGGCCTGGTGCTAAAGATTTTACATAAGAAATCACATTTAGTCAATAATTCAGTGCGGCAGGTACTCATCACAATTTTACAAATGAGAAACAAGCTAACCAAATTAGAGCTAGCAAGTGGAGAAGCTAAACTTTCAACTGAAATATCCTGGCTTTTTTTTTTTTTTTTTTTTTTTTTTTTTTGTCTTTTTCCTTTTTATCGGTACCGGGGATCGAACTCACGACTGCCTGCTTGCAAGGGAGGAGCTTATGCCGCTGAGCTAAATCCCCAGCCCCAATATCCTGGCTTTTAAACTTGCCTGTATTAGAATTTGGAATAGGCTTTATAAGAAGAACGAGGATTTCTGGAGGACTTCTGGGAAGAGGCAGGTTTTGGTGTTTTGCATCTTTCTTTCCTAAAGCAAAGATGAGTATGAGTCAGGCTATCACCTGAGATGGCAGAATTTGGAAAGAAAATATGTTTGTACCACTCCTTTTCAACCCTTGGCAGACCTCAGACTAAAGCACGTTCTTCTTGAGATATAATGGCATTTTCAGTTTTTACAATGGGAACCACTCTACTATGAAATGGGATTCAAGGTGCAAGACTGAATTTAATGTTTTCTGAGTACATTTTATCCAGAAAAAGCATCTTGAAGCAGTTTTTCATCTTATTCTCCAGATTCTTTCCAGAGCCACCTGGGCCATTGACTATACCTCCCTCACCATTCTTTTCCATCTCTGGATTCCCATCCTCAGATAACCCAGGACTAGGTCTTAGCAAGTCTTTGTTGAGCTGTAAACATGCATAGCCCTGTTCTGGGCATTGTGGGAATGCTAGAACTAAAGGGTTGTTGAGAAGACCCCAGAGCACATGAAAGCCAAGCCAGCAGTGTCAAGTAGATTGTACACACGTTTGACACCTGCCAGTTTCCTAGGTGAATGCCTCTCCCTTCCCCTCCCCTCCCCTCCCACCTTGAGCCTGGATTGGTTCAGTGGACGAGCTTGGCTGCCTGTGGTTTGGGAGAGCCACAGCCATGTCTTGATCAAGGGTATATATACTGTGATAGCTTGACAGCAGCGGTGGAGGACTAACTCCTTGTCTCTTGATTTAGGAGCAGCTCGGAGAGGAGGAAGGAAAAGTCCCGGGATGCGGCAAGATGCCGGCGCAGCAAGGAGACGGAGGTCTTCTATGAGCTGGCTCATGAACTGCCCCTGCCACACAGTGTGAGCTCCCACCTGGACAAGGCCTCCATCATGCGGCTGGCCATCAGCTTCCTGCGGACCCACAAGCTCCTGTCCTCAGGTGAGGCTGGCAGGTCCCCAGGCTGATGTGAGTGACAGCCTTATTAGCACTGCCACATATAGAGGCCCCCAGGGTGCCAAAGACACGGCCTTGCCCTCCAGAGACCCCACTTTGTAAACGCCTACTCACAATAAGGCCACTGTCCATGCTTTCTGACCTGCCAGCGCTGTCGCATCTGACCATGAGACCCCATTCCTGCAGAGTTGAGCCTGCATGAAGTGCTCTAGTCTCTGCTTTCTGGTCGGTAGAGATGATGCGCCCTTTCTATCTTTTACCTCTTTCTAGCCAGTTAGGCCCAGAGATCATTTGTTCTGCCTGAGCCTGTTTCTTCTGTAAAGTGGAATTAGGTATGTCTCCTCCACAGGGTGCCTGTAGGGATTAAGGGACACAATGGTCACGCTGGGCAACCCCTGGCAATGGGCAGCCTGGATGTCACCCTACCTAGCATCTCTGCAGCTTGCTGGTCACAAAGTGTTCTTTTCATCGCAGAAAGTTACTTTCTTCAAAAACCATTTCCTGTTAGTCCTGACTGGAGGAGGTGGCCTGAGAGAGCGCCCAGTTTCAGATCCCATGTGACAATGTTGTCTAATTGATTGGTTTTATAAGGAATGTTGCAGCGTGTGGCAGTCTGTGCCTGCCAGCGTGAGCATGGGGGCAGCAGTCGGAGTGAAGGGCCTTTTGTGGTTGGTTTTCATTTTTCCGGAGTGAGCGAGGTCCCTTGAAGACCGAGTGGGTTCTGCCATCCTGTTATGACGTGGTTATTCTGGGAAAGAAGCCTTGCTCGGAGGGAATCCAGTGAGGCAGGGAAGCCAGGCTGGCCTGTGCTATTCTGAGCCTGAGCACAGGAAGGATATGGAGAAAAGACCTTCAGAGCAGAGAATGACCACTTGGGGGCCCAGGACCAGGGGCTGAGCCTCTGTTATAGGCTGCAAGATTGAGCAGGGGAGACCCAAGGGCAGAGATGTGCTCTGCAGACTGAGCAGGGCAGTCACGGGTACAGAAAGAGGTGCACAGGCCAAGCTGGGATTGTGGATGGACAGCAAAGGACACCCATCTGCCTTTTTTTCCTTTTTTTTTCTGGTTGCTGGTGGGGATCGAACTGGTGCTAGACAACATTCCACTAGCAACCTATAACCCTACCTCTTTAAAAAAATTTTATTTTGAGGCAGGGTCTTGCTAAATTGCCTAGGCTGGACTCGAACATGTGCTCCTTCTGCCTCAGCCTCCTGAGTAGCCAGGACTACAGGTGTGTGGCACTGAGACTCACTTTTAAAGTGATTGGCTTCCTAAAAAGCTGAGGGCACTCTATTGCTATTTGGTAGCATTAGAGTCATCTTTACATACAAACAGAGTAGGTAGTGAGAGAATCAGTGGCCAAGTGGTTAGCCCTACCACACCCATACTTCCTTGCTTAAGGTATTTGAAATTCTTTCCCCAGATTCTAATTCCTTTGGTTTAACCACTGCTCCCTTCACCACCACCTCTATGCATCTACCAGCAGAGAGCCCAGAAAAGCTAAAAGCTAATATATTAATCATATGACACCTCTCTGACTTCATTTGCATGTAATCTTTCTTCTTGTTTTACAGATAAGTGAGCCACAGAAATGTTAAGATTGCCTAAAGTCACATATTTAGCACATGGTAAATATACACCTAGAATCTTGGTCCGTGAGAAAGAAAGATAAGGTATGGCACAAGGATTCTACAAACCTGGTCAGGCAGAGATTTTGGCAAGAGGGAGGGAACCACAGTCAGAGGGGGGCTGACCCAGGCTGGCCTGGGCATAGGTGGGCAGAAGCTCCTCACCCATGCACAGCTGCTCCTGCCCTTCCTCCTGGTGCAAGGCCTGGTGGTCCTGAGGTAAGCCTGTTGTCCTCAGTGGCTCTGAGGTTAGCTTGACGGGGGCAACATCAGAATCTGAGCTACCTCAGCACATCTGCCTGCTTGTGTGCCAGTGCAACCCCCTTGGGTATCACAGAGACAGGACCAGTGTCCTTAGTGGTAGCCACATCTCAGTTCTGGAGCTGTGGTGCATTATGCAAACCAACTACTGACCCTCTGGCCTGGCCTCTGCCTGTCAGCTGTGGGCCTTGGTGTCCCACGGAGAGAAATAACAGAAAAGCATAAAAAGTTTCTACTGCGGGCCATCTGGTCCTGATGTCCTTGAAAGAGAAGTTCTCATAAAATGAGCACAGCCAGGGAAGAAGGAGATGGTTTCTTAACTCCCATTTTTTTTCCCCCAGACCAGTTGTGAAAACTGTTTCAGGAAGTTGTAAGACAGGCTCTTTTTCTTTTTAATCCTACTTTGCTTTAAAAAATAATGGCACATAATGGAAAGGAGTCCAGGAGATAGTCCTGTGTTTGAATCTCTATGTGGCAGCTTGTTCTCTGTCTCTGTCTCTCCCTCTCTCCCCCGTCAGTTTCTCCCTCTCTCTCTCCTTCTAAACCTTCTAAACATTTCTTTTTCTCTTTGAACCTTAACTTCTTCATCTGCACGGAGACTAGCAGGATATCCCCACAGCACTGCTAGAGAATTAAGCTGATGTAAAAGGCCGTATCCTCTCGCCTGTCCAATAAGTTATAGCTTAGAAATAAACATGATTATGAACAGGAACCCGGCCTGATAGTAAAAATAAAAGGCTTCTGGAGAAATGATGTAAAAGAAAAAACTCAGGGTATTTCTTAACTGTCCTCGTGCGTACATTTCATAAATTCTCATCCAAATGCAAGACTGCTGTGTTCCTCCAACTCAAAACAAACCGCAGGTTCATTATTGAAGCATTTCTGACCAAGGTGAGCGAGGACCAGCGCCGTCTCCCTTTATACTAGGAAATGACTAGCTGCATAGCTCACAGTTCAAAAGGCTAAAAAATACCACCTTTGGCTTCAGAAAAGTTTCTTCTTTACTTAGTAACATGCTTTCCTTTGATTTTCACAGTAGGCTGTTGTGTGTGGGAATGTTGGAGAGGAAACCTCAACGTTGAGAAACTCAGGCTGTGGGTCGGGGCCTCTGATTGAGATTCATATCACAGGAAGCAAACTGAAACAATAGCTTTATGATACTCGCTTCCACGCTGGGCCGAGGACAGAACAGGCTCTGACGGGAAAGTCAATGGAAATACCTCTTGATTGTCTTAAATCCTCTTTCAAGATGAGCCCTACACACTGTGGCCAGAGGAAGGGTCACTTCTGCACTGTGATACTTTAAATAGCAGTAAATACACAAAATATGCTTTTCGCTCTAAGATTGCTTCGGGGCTTCCCCAGCCTCACGCCAGATGAAGTCAGATTCGTTTCACAAGGAGCTGGAGGTCCACATGAAGCAGGTGTTTCAAGGGAAATGTCAGGTTTATTTTTGATTCATGGCATTTGCCTAGTGAAGATGTAGTCTTCACAGGAGATTATGATCTCCTGGTCTCTGGACTGCTAGGGGAAAGACGTTAAAATGTAAGATGAATGATTTTATCATAACTCTTCCAGGTAAGAAAAGCAGGTTGGAAAGATCAAACTTGCAAAGGCAGCTGTGGTTTCTGGTGCCCTCTTAAGCCCTGCATTCAGACCGCTTTGCCCTGACCTTCACCCTTATCTGTCACTGTCCCACCCCCTTGCCTCACCTATAGTCCAAATCTGGGCCTTTTTCTGTACTGTTTGGAACAAAGGCAGTGAGCTGACTCACAGGAGGGTGTTGATGGCTGAGGGTTGCTCATTTACCATCTCTTCTAGAAATACAAACCTTGTCGAGACAAAAAAGTCTGGCCAGTCAACTGGTATGGGCTGAAGCCAGCCAGCCCTGTGCTGCATCTTACAAAGGATAATACAGAGGTAGGGTAGCAAAAGCAGATCCAGAGAGAACAACGGTGTGAATCTCCAGCGGTGGACTTGCAGAGATCCCCGGAACCCTGAAAGGTAGCAAGACACCAGTCTTCTGCCGCAGGTGTGGCTGGAGCCCAAGTCTGTCAAAGATGGGGCATCAAGGCGAGGCTAACGATCCTGCCAGTGCTTCCTCTCGGCTTGGCTAGCACTCCCCAGCTGGGTTTGGAGACGGTGGTAGGTGGAGGAGCTGGCAGGGCTGGAGAGAGGAATCCCTTTAGGCAAAGCTTTTGAAAAGAAAGGCTGCCATGGTAACTGCTTCAAGCAAGCACATCTGTGGCTATGCGGAAAGTAGTCTTCTCAGGGTAATGTGACTCTGTTGGAAAGAGTGGGGCAGCCCCACAAGGACAGCCTGGTCCCAGAGACCTGGTCAGGAGGTGTCTGCTATCCCACTACTTTCTTAGCTCCATGCCCGCCGGGTGGTGCTTCCAAAGGAAATGAGTGGTGCTCCGGAACCAGTGTTCCGAAACCTCTGCTGCACATATCCTGGCTGCAGAGAGTCATCAAGACCTGTTTACTGGGTTATTTTTAGCAGTAAAGAATCTTGTTGTGCTCCCCAGGTCCAGTGTGCTCCCTCTCAGCAGAAAACCTCTGGCTTGGATCACTGTCCCTCCTCTCTGGGGTCCTGGGAAACAGCTAAGATGACCCCAAGATGACTTAAAGTCCCTGTTGGCACCTTGTGGGGCACCTCCTTTGGGCTCCTTGCTTTATTTTGCCTCAGGGGTCTAGTCTGTATTGTTCTGTAACCTTCTGGCTCTCCATCTCTATCATCCTCACCAGCTGTGGATTCCTTGAGGAACAGGATTGCTCTGACACTCTCAGTAGCTCGATTCTCCCCAGGACAGGACTGAATATGTAGTGAGCGAGGCGCAGAGACACATTATTCTGTGCCTGGCACAGAGCAGATACACAGCAGAAGCTTAATAGCTGTGGAGCAAATGAATGCTTCTCTCCTGCCTAGAATACTCATGAAACATCAGGGAAAGACCTGGTGTGCATAGGGAAAAGACAGCATGTCCTCAGCAAAGATGTGACCTAAGCTTCCTGGCCCTGGAGGAGGGCCTGCTTGCTGGCTCCAGGCTGGGAGTGACCAGGCCAGGCTCCTTCAGAAGCTCCCCAGAGGATAAGCAGGTGCTGTGAGAGCAAATAGTTCCACAGAAGGAAGAGGCCCTGCCCAGCCCTGCTCACCCCCTCCAGGTCTCTAGGGGCCGCCTGCTGGCTTCCTGCCCTCCCAGCCATTGTGACCTCAGTTCCAAGATGTTCTGTTGCCCTTGTGGCCCCAGAGCACCCCTGTCTCTCCTTCCCACCCAAGGCCACTGACCCACTGTGGCAGCCAGTTTCACCTCCCCCTGGAAACCAGTTGGGCATCGTTGAAACTGTTAAAAACAGGAAATTTTAAGCAGAACTATTTCCTCTGGACCTAGTTAACCCAAATACGTTGTCTTGGGATTACTCCACATTTTGAAGTCAGTATAACCACTGAGATCAAAGAAATTGAAGAGAAAATATCTTTTCCATAGTCCAAAAACCACAAGGGTGGGCTTTGATTGACTGGAGAAAGTGGTCACATCTCTGTCTGGTGTGACTCAAAAGGTGCTGAAAAATCTCGGTCGTTCCCCAAATCAGCTGTCCAAGTGGTTGATATTCCCCTGTACGGGTTCCTTGTAGGACTTGGAGCTGAGGCTGTGGTCCTGGTTCTAGGAACAACGGCATCAATCTGAGACCTTAGCAGTCAAGCACTTTCCCTGCTCTGCCTGAGATACCCTGAATCATGATGCCTGCTGGTGGGTCCCCTCCAGGGCCAGCCTCATGAGGTGCAACTTGTGGCATCTTGAAAGGCTGCATCCTTGGAAGGGACTTGGTTTTGGCTTAGTTTTAAAACAAGAGGACTTGTGTTTTCTTTACACTGGACCCTGAAAATTATATAAATCCTGGGTCCAGAAATCTTTGTTTCAGCCAGCCCTCCAGTGGCCCTGGTATACATGCTCAGCTATGTTGCCATCTTTCCTAAAACCTCTGCTCAAACTTGGATGGTGCTTGGGAGGGCTGGTGTTAACAACCTCGTCTTCATCTGTCCCACCAGCTAGTTAGTTGGTAAAGAGCAGATCCTACATCAGCAGAAACCCGAGCAGGAATTGGCTTGGGAATGGGTGTGTGCTGTAAGGCTGTTCTTACGTGGTCCTCCTCCCTCCCCTTTGTGGACTAATTGCAAGCGTGTGAGGAGGACTTTCCCTCATTGGGTTCCACCATTTTGGTAAATATAGGTTAAGGCTGCTGCTCTGTCCCGCACAACTCTTGGCTTTGAAGGCCAGCTGGTCCTGCAAGGGCTCCTTTCCCACTCCTCTGCAGAAATGGCAGCACCCAAGTACTCTTGCACATTCTCTGGTCCTGTGTCCTGAAAGACACTGATTCCAAAAGGTATCACTGAAGTCTTTTTGGGAAGAATATTACCTCATTCAGATCTACCTTGAGCTTGCATTCAAGGGCTCACAGAGAAGGGGAATTAAGTAAATTCACTTCTGTTGCAGAAAGACCTTGGTCAGCACCACACAGCATTGATGGTCACTTGCCAAGTGGCCTGTCAATCTAATTGCATCTTATGCTTCCTACAGGAGTCTCCAGTTGAAAGACTCTTTGTAGTTAAATGAATACAAGCTATTATAAGTGACAAATACTCTTGAATCCTCTTGTTCTTTAAATCAAATGAAAGATGTTTGAATTGATACTTGTGCCTAAAGGACACAAATGCTTCTAGGGATGTATAGTTTGGAGGTCGGTAAGAAAGCCAGAAGGCAGGTGGCTGAAATACAGTCTGTGTGTTGTCTGAGGAGAACCAGGGCTGGGCCTGAGCAGGTGTTTTGTCTGGGATAGAACTGCGTCTGTGTTTCACAGATAGCAGAGCTGTGCTTGATGGGCCAGGTGAATGATTTGGGGTAGTTGCTGTCACAGATACCCTGGCAACCTCTTCTGCAGCCTGACAGTCATGCAGTTGACTCCTTACTGTCATATATGCCTCACTCTCTCCAAGACATTCTGCAAGCTGTTTCTGGATTAACCTCCCCAGCGCAATGTTTTGAGACACCACTACTGTGCTCCTACTGTGAGGCTCCTACTGGACCTAACTTATCAGTTCAGTCTCTGAGACTAGAACATGGACCTGCCTTTGCAGTACTGGAAGAGGACTTGTACCACGTTTCCTGTCCAACCTGCAAAGGCCTCTCTGGTCATTTCTAGAATGAAGTCACCCTTTTTTCCTAAGTCTCCTCAAATTCCTCTCTTTGGAAGTTGTCTCTTTGGAATACTTGTCTCACCCCAAAGCAACCCCTCTCTCCTTTGGTGCACTTAACTGTCCCTAACTCTCCCTGGACACCCAGCCATGATGTCCTTGAATCTCTGCAGAACTTTGTATCTCTGTGTGTGACATCCTTCCGCCCTAGGCTTCGTGCAGTTGAGGTCAGTGAATGTGTTTTAGATGGAAGAGATGAGAGAACAAATTCACATGCATTGATCTTGTTTTAGGCATACTCGTTTCACCTTGTAACTCAAAGAGATGGAAGTTATTAGATGAGGAAACTGACGATCAGTGAGGTTATTTACCAAGTCATATCCTCCTGGGAGGCTGAGTCAGGACTAGAAACTTGTGCTTGACTCCAAAGCCTACAAATGTCTAGATGTGGCTTCCAGATTCAGTTTCTGGTCTTGTTGGCTTCCCCACCTATCTAGCCTGAGTGAGCAGCTCCCCTTTCCCCAAGCCTCATCGCTGTGAAGATTACAGAATGCTTACTGCAGTTCCTGGCAAGTAGCAGTTGCTACACATACATTCACAGCAGCTAACACTTCCGTTCCTGCTGCTACAGTGACTACTGTTCTGCCCATGGCTACTGTACCCTAAGTACTGTTTCACTACAGCCACCCTGTCCTCAAGCCCATTGGGCTGTGCAGTGTGGCGGTGCCTGCCTAGTGCCTGCTGCAGAGGTATGTGGCAAACACTGAGGTGGCTGGCAGTGTGCTTTGTTCTAGGCCCTGAGTGACCTCTCTCCCACCGATCATGTCTGTTTTAACACCAAATCCACTCAAGCTTCCCAACCCTCTGTCTTTCCAGTTTGCTCTGAGAATGAATCTGAAGTGGAGGCTGACCAGCAGATGGATAACTTGTACCTGAAGGCTTTGGAAGGTTTCATTGCTGTGGTGACCCAAGATGGTGACATGATCTTTCTGTCAGAGAACATCAGCAAGTTCATGGGACTCACCCAGGTGACACTCTTCTCCACCTCTTCCAGAAGGGGAAAGTGTTTCCACTGTGGGATAGAAATTGGTTAAGGGTACTCATGACAATCCCTTTGGACTTCTCCCTGCCTGTGCCCACTCTGACCCTCACTGTGCCAGGCCGTAAGCCTCAGGATCACATACCCATGTGGGTTTGCCCACTGCTGATGGCTGCCTGGTAGGTAGCTCTCTGCTGGCCAGGTTAACAGAATATCCCTTATTAGAAATCAAGTACCTGTCATATCAGTCCTGGTCATAAGCACTGTCCTGAGGCTGTGGGAAGGATGGTCTGATGCAGTCCCCTCCTAGTGTCTGAGTCTGGGTATATCAAGTTCCTCAGTTCGGTGTTAAGAATTACAGTGCCAAACTTTGCTTTTGAAACAGGTAGAGCTAACAGGACACAGTATCTTTGACTTCACTCATCCCTGCGATCATGAGGAGATCCGTGAGAACTTGACTCTCAAAAATGGTAAAATGTCATCATGTGTTTGCTTCCTTCTCATCCCACCCAGGGGACATCTGCCTTCCCTTTGTCTCCAAGCATGGGAGAAGTGGGTCATGTCCATGGTAAAGCCGGGAAAAGCTGCCAGCCACGGAGGTGGGCTGGCACCGTGTGGTGTGCAGCTTGGGAGATGAGGTTGTGGGCTGGGAGGGACCCAGTACTCAGAAAGCTCTCCTGCTGGCCCCATGTGTGGTGTGAGCTCACTACTGGGCACTCCCTCAAGGTAGGACCCTGACTCTAGCAAGATCGCCACGTGACAGTCAAGCATCTCTCAACGATGTCACTCAACCCAAAACTCTCATCTGGGCCCAAGTGCTCAGAGAGTATTACAGTTTCCATGGCCGTGTAGCCTAACAAACTATCCAAAACGCAGGGAGCAGTAATTTGTGTGCTTTTTCTCAGGTTTGTGTGGGTTCTGCTGAAGCCCAGCAGGGGCAGCAGCAGCCACTTTGTGCAGAGACTGCACCAAGCTAGGATGGCTAAGATGGTTCAGTCACATAGGAGACAGGCATTTGGTAGTGGGGTGCCTGCATCTCTCCCTCATTCCACTGTATCTCAGAGCCTCTCCCTCTCTACTAAGAGTCTCCAACTTGCAGAAGTGCAAATGCAGAACCTGCCAGGAGGGCAGAGTCCTGAACTGTTCTGTTGTGCTGGTTAGGGCAGTGATGGGCTGGCCCCTATGTGTGACCGTGAGTATCAGAAGGCACAATTCTCTGAGGCCACCACTGGATCTACCATAGGATAACATGGCACAAATCTAGGATTCTGGTGATGAGACATAGGACAAGGAGGTTTTGATGAAGATGCTGGTGGATGTGGGGCTGTGCACAGGTGAAAGGCACAGCCTTTGCAGTGACAGTGAAGCTTCATGTTTATAACTAGGGACATCCAAGCAAAGGCATGGATGAGGGTACCATCAAGAGGACCAAAGCTTTAGGCAGCAGTGTGGCTCAGCAACCACCTGGACCCTTCCTGAACCTGAGAGTCTGTCATCACCTGAGCAGACTCTGCCCACATCTAGATGCCCTCTTTAGTATCTCTCGCCTGCATGAATGGAGCGTGTTCTTGTCCAGCTTGAGAAACAGAGTCAGCGGTACCAAGCCTGCTGCTGCACATGCCACAAAGGCTCCCCTCCACCCTTGTTTCTGACGGCCTGTGGCCCTCATTTGGGCCTGCAAAGCTTTGCAGAATGACAACTCTCCCCTTCCACCACGTGACTGACCTGTCCCCCAGGCCCTCTGCTCTAAAGTCCTTGGCCACCTGATTCCTGAGCACACTAGCAGAGGAGCATTCCATGGCTCCGGAAGGTTTTGGGAGTCAGCTGTGTAGCGTGTTGGGTCAGGGTGAAGGACTTCCTAAAGCAGAGAGTCCTTGTTTTTCTATTTCAGAAACCCAGCCCTCTAATTTCTTGTACTCAATTTAACTAGAATCTCAGTCTGACTCTTGTGACCTGAATGAATCACTTCTGACTTACTTGGAGTCTTTCTTTTCAAACTGGTAGCAGTGAACTAGGCAAAGTCTAGGAACTTCCAATGCTCAAGTGCCATGACTCACAGCAGTGGCCTCTCCTTATTGGAGTAGAACTTTAAATGTCTTGGTACACATTTGGGGATTTGGGATCCGTCAAATTCACTGAATCATCAAATCCTCACTCAAAGTGCCAGCCTGTGGGTGGATTCATGATCCAGAAGCAGAGTTAGTGTGAGCTCTTAGAGGAAAACAGGGCCATGACACAGATTGTGGAAGGCTTTGAAGGCCATGTAGAAGCCTGGAATTTTTTTGTTTTGTTTTGTTTTGTACCAGGACTCAAACTCAGGACCTTGTGCTTGCCAGGAACACGCTTATGCCATTGAACTATATCCCTGTCTGAGGCCTGAAATTTTATAGAGAGTTACCCAAGATTTTTGAGCAGGAATAGGGTATTATTCTTGGAGCTATATTTAGAAAGCACAATCAGATATCAGATTAAGGAGAACCTGAATGTTTGCTAGTTAGGAATCCATAATAACAATCCAAGAGAACAGCATAAATGAGTTCCTCTAAATTCCTCAATCCTAACTCCTGGTGATGGGGCCTAGCCCCAAGAAACAGGCATATTTCATTATATATGAAAATTATAAATTAAAAAAAGCAAAACTAATTTAAGTATAGGAGAGATTCTTTTATCATAGGGAGGAATATTCTCTTAATGACAATGAAAACCTCCCCTTAGACTGTCATGCACTGGAGTTCCCTGAAGGTGATTCAGTTTGGTTCAAGAGTACCACCATTGCTTTGTCGTATAACTCTTCAGGAGTGTGTCAGAAATCAAGCTCTTCTGGAGGTTTAGGTGCAGGGGCTGGTGACTTTGGAGGGAGCAGTGTAGATGCTGGAAGCAATGGATAAGGGGCCATGAATCGGGCCAGTGGTGGGAAGCCATTGTGAGCCCACAGGCTGGATGGAGTTCAGTGTTCACACCAGGCCAGCCTTCAGGTCCCAGCTACACAGACTACTGGGAGATGAAAAAATAAGCCATCCTGAGAAACTGCAGCTGGACCTCTCTTGTGCCATTATGTATAAAACTAATTCAGCTTGTCCGGTTCCCATCCCACCCTGCTTCCCACCAGGCTCTGGTTTTGGAAAGAAAGGCAAAGAAATATCCACAGAACGGGACTTCTTCATGAGGATGAAGTGCACAGTCACCAACAGAGGCCGGACTGTCAACCTTAAGTCAGCCACCTGGAAGGTAGGCTAAAGCCAGGCCTGGTGAGAGTCCCAGGCTGAGCTGACCAAAAGCCTCGCCCCACTCCCAGCACCCTGCGCCCTACATCTGGCCTCTGCTGACCTCTGCTCTTGGCCACCAGGTCTTGCACTGCACCGGCCAGGTGAAAGTCTACAACAGCTGTGCTCCCCACAGCAGCCTCTGTAGCTACAAGGAGCCTCTGCTGTCCTGCCTCATCATCATGTGTGAGCCGATCCAGCACCCTTCCCACATGGACATCCCCCTTGACAGCAAGACCTTCCTGAGCCGCCACAGCATGGACATGAAGTTCACCTACTGTGATGACAGGTAAGGGCCAGCCAGGTGCAGTGTGCATCCTGTGGGCTGGGGAGGGGCTGGGGATCTCTGCATGTGCTCAGGCCTGTAATTAAGGGGAGGAATAGATACGAGAGTAGGGTATTGCTGGGCGCAAGTCCGAGGGCCCTTGTCCTGTTTTCCTCCATCAGTAGACCTCAGAAGCTTCCAGTACCATGTTTGGTGATCTCCCCCGATGCAGCCTCAGGGTCCGTCTGCAGAGCTGTCCTGGTGTGTGACTGACATTGTGGAGCAGACCTAGTGCTTCAGGCTCCTGAGGGTATTTCCAGGGCAGTCAGAGAGCACCAGATTCAGGCCTAGAAATGAACCCATGGCTGGCTGGCTTCTCCTCATCCATATCCACGACTGCCAGAGCTTCTCTCCCAGCTGCCACCCCTCCTGTGTTTAGCTGGGAATATTCCAGCCACTGTCTGGCCTACTTTTGAAGGCTTGCGGATGAACAGAGCTAGGCCAAACTCTAACTCCCACAGCCAGGCACTGGACTTCACTGAGGGGACACAGTAGTTCCCTCACAGCTCTCACTCTTACCTACTGTGGTTAAAGTTGCTGAGAGAACACTTAAGTCTGCACGGGGAAGACATGTGTGCTCCGGTTTCTAGCTGAAGTTGTAGGTGGTGACACGGTGATGAGACTGGGGTTGTCATGAGCGAGGAGGAGGCCACGCCACTGCTTCTCAGTCTGGCATCTCTGCTCTGAGACCGCGGGGCCTGACGGTCAGGAGGTGGAGGCGACAGGGAGAATAGATGTGAAGGCCACTGTGCCCTATTGTCTGGGGCTCTGCACCTGTGTGTGCCCTTCAGGGAGGATCTCAGCCAGTCTGACCTCTGCATTTTCCAAAATCCAGAGTTACCTTTATATTACCCCAAACTCTGCCACTCCTCTCCAACATGGAGATACTTTTCCAGCCTGTTCCTCAGGGTCTCTGTAAGGTGAGGTCGCGGCTGGAAAGTACCTACAGGAAGATGCATGGGAGGCTTCCTGCTGCTGCTTCAGTCAGTTCTTGGCCTTCCCAAAGCACATTCTCCCCAATAAGCTCAGGGAGCCCAGCTTACTTCTGGAGGTCTGGGCCCAGCACAGCGGGGAAAGATCACGAGCAAGAAACTGCCTTGTCTTCCCCACTAGTGGGAAACCACCAGACCCAGAAAGGGAGGCCCCTCCAAGCTTGGCAAGGCCACCCCTCTACCCTGGCCTTCTGTCATCACTGGATGGCGCAGGGCATCTGGTTTCCTCACAGTGCAATCCCACTGCCCGGGTTAGGCTCGGTCTCCTCTAACGCTAAACTTACCTCGTTAATTGTTGGTTTTTGGCCCCTTCTTGGAATTGGCCACCATTTGTGGTACAACGTTAGAAGTTTTATAAGCGCATCCTTGGGGTGTCCCAGTCCCCAAGTTCTCACCATGGTAGGGCCAGGACTTGAGCCTGGGGGAGGTGGTGAGTAGTAAAATGAGGGAAAATGTGCCCCAACTTCATAGGGCGGAAAAGTCCCTTCTGGAAGCTTCGGTCCTAGAACTTTGCCGCAGTTGGCCTTTGTGGCAGGTGTGCAGTTGTTAGTGTTGCATCTTGGGCTGCTGTGATGATGATGGACTGGAGAGAAAGAACACTCAGAAGGCAGGCAGCAGGGCAGTCTCTTCTGGCCGAGGTCACGTACATATATGCACCGTGGCATTCAGGTGCACATTCTGGGCAGAACACAGTGCTGTGATGTGCACCCCCTCAATGGTCTGAGGTGACGGGAATCCCACTGCACAGCCCACATGACTCTGGCTTTAGGGTGAACTGGTGCCCAGGGTGCCTCAGTTCTGCCACTTGGGAACAGCTGAGGGCACAAGGATGATCCTGCCATTCCAGAAAAGAGCTTGCCATCCCTAGATAATAGCAAAAAAGAGGATTTTGTTCTTGTTAGAGTGAAAAAACCCTGGAAATTTAATTCTGTGTTAGTTCTTTATTCATTATCTTGATTTGAATGAGTTTCAGGTACTTTTCTGAGAGTGTTAACTTCTGGGTAGAGGGAGAGAGGGAATAAAAACTGATATTTGGGTGTCTGAAAGTAGTTACAGAAGAAATGTACACAATCCGGGCTGTGTGCTGACTTCTCCGTGTGTCAGAACCAGCAGGCGGGGACCTGGGCTTACAGGAACCTGTGATCGCAGGCTCTGTGACTCACAGCCTGGGGGAGGCACCGCTTCTGAGCTGGGTGGGACATCCTGCGTTTGCAGCTGAATCTCACCTTTCAGGGAACCAGATGACATGGCCCCATCCTGAGTTCAGGGAGGCTGGGGCAGCGCATGCAGAGGAGGTAAACACAGAGAATGCTGTGCGACACACAGGTTGTGTTTAACCGATTAGCAGATTAGTTAACAAGGGCACCGACATAGCTTAGGCAGTTTATGAAGCGACTATTTTAAGTCTTTAATCCGTAAGTGTTGTTTCTCAGTTACTTTGATGAGGACTTGAATTTTTTTCCCTTTGGTAGCTTGTTTTGTTTTCACTCTTTGTTCTGGGGTGAGAGAACACACACACACACACACACACACACACGCACACACACACACGTTGTCCTTACACACACACACACACACACACACACACACACGCACACACACACACACACGTTGTCCTTAATAATTCTCCGAGATAAATGCTTCAAAACCCAGTATCTACAAATGACAGCGCATGGGGAGGGGCGGGGGGAGTAGGGCTCCCACTTTAATCAGCAAATTCACTGGATTTGATGACAGCTTACATGGGAAGGGGCTGTGGTTTCCCACAAAGGGAGCTGCTTCCCCATTTAAAAAGCTAGAAAGAATCTGAAGAAAGTGATTTCAAATCCACAGACCCGCTTTTGAGGTACTTTGATACTTAGTTATATTGAGACCACAGAGAGCAAAAAAGGAAGTTCTGGGCTGGCACTGGAGCTGTCATGAGCCTATGTGAGACCATGAAGAAAGAAAAGAGTCACAGAGAGAAAGAGAAGAGAGAGGGGGAGAGGGGCAGAAAGAAGCCAGGAAAAAACCCTGGGGCCTTGCTGGACTCTCAGGTTCCTGCCATCGGCTGAACCTGCAAGAGCCCATTCGGAGTATCTGAAACCGAATAAAGCCATGCAGATGACTCAGAATACACTTGTCCTTCCCTTTAAAAAGGGCCAGAGTAGCTGAGAAGATAATGAGATTCATTATAACGCCCATTCTCGTTGACTTCTATCTACTTTTGAAGACCTACAATATCTCCAATGTTTTGGTTTTGTCGGTTTTATCCTTTACGGTTTTGTTCAATAGTATTACAACTAATGATATAGGCAATTCTATTAGAAATAGCGGGAGGCATTAGGGTAACCATTGTTGATCACCTTGTATTATGTTTTTATATTATCTATTATATCCACCCTTTTGACTTGACCGATTCTGTTCTGTTATGTCACATTTGGTTTTACTCTCTTCCAAAAAAGCAATAAGAACAGTGGGAGCAATGAAACCCAAAATGTGTAATAGTCACTGTACAAAAGAGAGGAAAAGAAAATGCTCTAAACTATATAACTGCATGTATATTTAAATGTATAAGACAGAAAATGATATCACAGAGTTCTAATGGATCATTGAACAGAACTGTTTGCAGTATCATTGCTGGAATGTCCACTCTACAAACTTTAATTCTGTGACTTGAACAATTATTTCTAAGATGGCAATATGTAATCTATTAACTAGTGATTTCCTACTGCGCATTTTTTTTCTTCTGTAAATCTGTATAACTTGTACCCTTCACTGTTTTTTTTTCTTTTCTTTTCTCCTTAAATAAAAATTAAAAAAAAAAATAAATAAAAATAAAAAGGGCCAGAGTAGCATATGGAGTCCTATGTGAATAATTTTGATAGTTTAGTTCTAATAAAAATTTAAAACATCTGAAGCATGTCACATTTAGGTCTACAGGTGGAATATCTCTAATTAGGACCAAATTAGGACCAAAAGCTTCCAATTTGGGGGTGTTTTGTTTTGTTTTGTTTTGACTTGATTTGGGTATATTTGCATAGATTTTACTGGGTAAGTACCCTCTACTCTGAAAACTAAAGATATGAAGTGCTCAGAAATCTGAAATTTTTTAACATCATGTTGGATTTCAGCTTTTTGCGTTAAAAGTGCTCCCTTAGCCTGCTGACTCTCAGCATAGCTGGATCAAAGAAATGACTGTTGTAGTTATCAGTGTGATTGATGATCTCCACTTATAATTCAGACATAAGTGTGACATTGCTTCCTGAAATGCTGAGCAACCCACTCAGGAATTCTTATTTATCGAACATTTGCTATATATCTAGCCCTGTGTGAGAGACTCAAAAAGTGAAAAAATGATTTCTGATCTACAAGAGTATAGCGTTTAAGATACAAACAACTTAATGAAACTACAGTGAATGGTACAAAATAGATCATCTCATTCACCCAAAGAGGAAGACAAAAGTTGCTCACAAGTAGCTTAACTTTAAAAAAAAAAAAAAAAAAAAAAAAATGCAGTGGCTCTTACCAGACATGGTGGCACACCTGTAATCCTCGCACTCTGGAGGCTGAGCTAGGAGGATCTCCATGAGTTTGGGGCCAGCCTAGGGTACATAACGAATTTAAGGCCAATCTAGAATACATAGCACAACCCACCCAAAGAAAGAAAAATTAAAAGCAGTGTGGATCCTAAATTCATGTGAAGGTGCCATCTGGTGGTGAGAGAGAGCAACTGAAGGACGCTCAGCCATCAGGAGACTGAAGCAGTCTAAACTCATCGCTGCGATTTTGTGAGTTCTGTGAGTCTTCCTGTATTTTAGAAATAAATTATGAAATCAAATAATGTGTAAAGGATCAGTAAATAGGTATCAAAATTAGAGGGAAAAGTGTCAGGTTAATAATGAGGGTCATTTGATCTTCACAGAGTAAAGAATTTGAGGGCAATCCTATTTTATAAATGGATTATAGCAACACAGTATGTAACTAAATCAA